GGGGAGAGGGAGGTCTGGGCCTCCCTTCTGAAGCTGCTGCCCCCGCGACCCGACCCCGGATAGGCGGAAGAAAATGGATGGATGGATGGATGGATCAATAAATGCATTGATCAAAGAACAGTTGTATCACAGTATGGTTCCAAATATAAATAGGTTTAGCACATCTAAATGGCTAGAACCATGTTTGTAATCTTATAATCTTGTGCAGGATTCAAACTTGCAGACTTTTTACACAAAGACAAGTTTACACATTTACAAGTTACACAAAGACACACCTTTGCTAACCCTGGATAAACAAATAAATATGCTTTACTAGCAATACCGTTTAGTTCCAAAAAGTAAAACAGTAAATCAAACCGAGAGACTCCCCAACAGGCTGCATGCTCCAGCAACAGCTGATCAGATATTAACACAACACCCAGTCCCATTTGCACCCAGTATGCATTCTTGTTGATCGATGTTGCTCCAGCAGCCCAGGTCACAGTTAAATGGGTCACCAGATTTGTCTCCCCATGTTTGGTCATCTATCTGCTCCTGTTGTGTTCTTCTCCGGCTAACCTAGCATCCATCTGTGCAGGCCGCACCTCAGCTTACCTTCAGGTGGTGGATGAGTATGTGGGAATCGTTCTGTGGGTTCATCTTCTCTGACTGCTAAATACAGATATAATTCAGCTTTGGTGTGCAGTTCTTTCTTCAGGTTCAGGCCTCAAAACTAGAAATACACATTCTGATCGAAGTTACATGTTTGTTTCACAATTGCCCAGTTTGTTTTGGATGTCCACTTACAAGTAACTTACATGTAATCTACATAAACTTATGAACAACTTACCTGAAGCATACCTGTAACTTAAGTATAAGTTTGTTTGTTTTTTTGAGCATATAATTCTTTGTTTCTGTGTAAACATAGGATCAGAGCATTTTTTTAACTCATCTTTCCTATTGTGTGTATTCCAAGCTTTTTAAAGGTAGCGTGACCCCTACTGGTTGCCGCGTGAACTGATCACCTGTTCCCCCATGTTTTAATCATGTGTTTGTCTTCTTGAATGGGTGTTCTTAAATGTAATTACCTTGTGCAAACGATGACAATAAAAGGCTTTCATCATCATCATCATCATCAACCAAACAGAGCAAGACTTCAAAATGGAGATGGGGCTTTAGTTTAGTTAGTGAGTTTGAGGGGGGAAGTAAACCCTGGTGGGCCGGAAGGGGGAAACACTGAAGTAAACAAAAATGAGGTATGTTTAGCCCCTTCTCCATGAGCAAGGTTCTACTCTATTTGGTTCGGGACGTTTCAGGTGTGTGTATCTCCATCTGTGCCCCTCACTCTGTGGGCCATCTGTTCATCTGTTGTGTTTAAAATAAAAACGCCGTTGTGATTTTAACATTCAAACTTTACTTTTTATTAGGGGTGCACGATAGTTATCGGCCCGATCAGGAAGTTATGACATCATACTTATCGGTCCGATATCATAACAAACAGAAATGATAATATACTGTATGTATATGTTTGCCAGCGCGGCGGTGAGTGCGCTCTTTATTTTCATCCTTTTTGGTCAACCGCTTCCCATCCGGCACAACCCGAGCAACGTTCAAGTAACATCAGAAAAAATAAGTTTCTCACTGGAAAAATAATTAGAATACTCCATGCTAAAAAACAACCAGTCGTTTTAAGAATTATTAATATTATTTTACCAATTAACCCTGTATGTTACACACAAACTTTATAATTAATAACATAAAAAGGTCAGAACAACTACTCCCAATTTGGGAACATGTAAAGTCTGTTGCCTCCTCAATGCAGCGCAAAGTCCGTTCTGCTAAAATGCTAACAACAACAAACAAGCGTTCAAGAACTCGTCGGCAACTCGTCAGCACTTAAAGGGCCAATATTATGTGTTTCTCAGGCATATACAGTATTTAAAAACTATACCATAATAAAGTATCTA